TCTACTAAAAATAGAAAGAAATTAATCGGACAACTAAAAATATATAGAAAAATTAGCCGGGCATGGTGGCGCATGCCTGTAGTCCCAGCTACTCGGGAGGCTGAGGCAGGAGGATCACTTGAGCCCAGGAGTTTGAGGTTGCTGTGAGCGAGGATGACGCCACGGCACTCTAGCCTGGGCATCACAGTGAGACTCTTGTCTCAAAAAACAAACAAACAAAAAAAACCTGGAGAGAAAGTGAGATATAGAAGACAGATAAAGGTGTTTTAACATAGACAGTTTAGAGTCTTTGAATAAATAAAGCTAAAATAGTGGAACAGAATAAATATTTAGAGATAGAACTCAAGAAAACTTTTTGGAAATAACAGATGGTTCAAGTTTGCATGTTGAAAGAGCATAGCAGGGGAAAATCACTCAGAATGGCTAACAGTGAGATATATCTTAGTAAAGTCACTGGGCTTTAAAGATAAAGAGATAACTGTGGATGGCCATACAAAAGGACCTAGTAACTTATAATGGGGAAAATGACAAGTTTGTCTTGGATTTTGCAACTCTCAATGCCAGACGTCAGTAAACCAATACCTTCAGATAAACTCAAGAAAGAAAAATGAGAACCAAGAAGTTTACATTCAGTAAAGTTGCCCTTCAAGTACAAAGACTACAGAAAAATGTTTTGAACATTCAAGATCATATTGTGAGTGAGATATATTCCTGTGAGATAATGTTGTTTTTGAGCCCTTCTTGAGGAAACTAGTAGAGGATGAACATAAGCAAACAGATAATTGGGGAAACTAAGGTAAAAGGACTTGCAATATTGAAAATATTTAATTTATAGAGCTAAACCTAAAATGAAAGTGGAGATTAGAATGAAAGGAAAAAACGCATACTCTGATAACTGACAATATTGGAAGAGAAATGTAGAGAGAAGGTGGCATATAGAGTGACTTCCTCATGTGTAATGACTGAAAATTAAAGGATGGTACCTAAAGCTAACAAATAAAGTAGTAGGAATATAAGCATATTTAACAAAACAAGTATTTTTGGAAACTGTAAAACTATAGCAATGCCCTTCAATATTGGACTGGTTAAACATATTATGATTCATCCATATGGTAGAATACTTTACAACCTGATAAAAGAATGAGGAAGGGCTCTATGTACTGACAGGGAGAGAAGTCCAAGATGAATTAAAAAGCAAGATGAAGAACAGGTTGTAAAATATGCTGGCACTTATGTAAAAGAAGTAGAAAAATAATATATAATGATGTTTCCGTATATTTGATTTTTAAAACTCAGGAGGGATATGATAAAAACTTTTCTTGGGGGGGGCTTGAGAGTTGGTTAGATGGGGGATAGGAATGGGGGTGAAGTTTTCACTGTTGTTTTCTTCCCTTTCTCTCTTCCTTCCATCCTTTCTATTTTTAAAACATGTGAATGCATTACATATTCCAAAAGTAGATTGATGAAAAAGATCAAACCATACATCCTCCCAAATTCTGGTCCTATATTAAATCTTAGACAAAGCGTTGAGGTAATTTCAGTTGACATCTCTGCAGGGGCTCATGGGATTTTCCGTCTTTTCCAGAATATAATCTTGTTAGGTATAGGCTTCTTATATGAGGCCCTGAGGCCCTTTAAGTGAAGAAAACACTTGAATGATCTGCCATTTCATCTAGACAGGTTCTGTGTCCTTTCTTAGTTTGTCTGTGAAATAGTCAGTAATTGTTAAGGCCGGTTCTATTAATATATCATTAAGTGAAGGCCTGTTTCTTTTTCTGTTGCGTAAATTTATTTATGAGATTAGTCTCGCTGGAAGGCATTGGGTTCCTATGATGAGTGAGCATTTCTCCTTAAGTCAACGTCTAGTACTCATTCTCAGCTTAACATGGTCAAAACAGAATTCTTGATAATGAGGCCTAACTTCAGGGCTCTCTGAAACAGGAAACAGACATGCTTTTTTTTCCATTTAAGGAAAATGAGACATCAGGAGATTATGATTTGTCAGAAAGCACCCAGAACATAAGTGCTAGGCAGGGGAGGATACAATGATGATTTCATGGATGGGGCCCTGGCTCCCAGACAGTGCGAATTTACTTTACCATTTACGGTGTGAATCCTGCCACAGTGATATAGGTACTTGGCACAGTGGATTGAAGTGTTGGGGTTTTCCCCGCAAATGAGGCTAATTCATTTTTTGGACTTTATGCAGTTGTTCTCAAATTTACTTTAAGGATGCATTAATTTGGATATGTAATTTGAAAGCAGTGATCTTACTATTAGTACGTATGCACATAATGCAATCTAATTGCCAGTAATAAAATTGTTACTCTTTGTGTGTAATTTAGGATAAATCAAAGGGAATGCTCATGAAGCTGTACTCATGACCTTGAACTTTTTAAGTTACTTTTCCATACTCAATAGAGTATGTGTGTTCTGTAATATTTTCTAGAAGTTTTCTAAGTGCCTTGGCTCTAATGCGTTAATTGTATTGCATTTTTACCTTGATTTCTAAGGTTCTGTTTGTAAAATGGAGATGATAATCTTTGCCTTCCTCACAGGATTGTAGTGATTAGTAAACGGGGTAGTGATGTGAGCATACTTTTGTAAAACTGTATAGTGACTTACAAATGCAGAGGTGGTAGTGCTAGCATTATATAAATTAGATCTTGTCTCCTCCCCAGAAGTTCATGCCATTCCATTCTGTCTCTTCCAGATCTATTCTTTTCTAGTAATAAAATTAGAAGGGTCCATAATATACTTATATTTCTGTGGATTAGCTTTTTCCCTTCTGTGTTTCTTTTTGTATATATACCTTCATGTGAAGTAGGACTATTTTGAATGATTATGTATACAGAATTTTATAATAAACAGTAAATAGCAATACTGTAGAGATACAGTAATAATTTTTAAAAACCCTTATGAATAATAGTGGAGATACAGGCTTCGTAAACAGACCTGTGTTTTTTAATCCAGGTGTCGCCCTGTATTGGCTATGCGACCTTGGGAAAATTACTTAATTTCTTGTATGTTCGTTATTCTCATGTGTAAAGGGAGACGGCTATCTTCTGAGGTTGTCGATGACCAAATGAGATACTTTTTACAAGGCACTTGGAATATTGCTTTAGATGTTTAAAGGGTAGAATTTCATCTACGCTCATTTCCTCAAACAGACTAATTCTTGTTTAAACATAATCACTTCATAATAACAGTTTTTACCATTTGGGTTCTAGTCCTTTGTATAAAGTAAGTTACATTGATAAAGATCAGAAATTTAACTCCACAGTTGTTTCAGATATTCTGCATTTTGCACTCACTAGAATGAAAAATGGGAGAAGTAAATCACATAACAGTGTGCATTATTTTTCTTCCAGATTATTTGAGTATGTGGGAACCTCAAAGCTCATCAGGTATTTTAAGAACAGTATGCATTTATTCGATATACTTTGTAAATACCTGCTATATACCTGGCACTATTGTTAGGCTTTGGAATGCAGAGGTGAAAAAAAGTAGTTTATGCCTATATTGAAGGTCATCATTTGCTGAAGGAGACAGATAAATAAGCAATTATAATATAAGAAGTACTATAGCAGATAATGCAGAGGGAGCTTTGAGAACCCAGAGGAGGTGCCTCCTGTCTCTTCAAGAAGAGGGGAGTGTGCATTCAGATGTGTTTCCCAGGAAAGGTGACACCTGAGTCTAGTCTGGAGGGAACCAGAACCTGGAACATGAAGGCTTATCTTCCAGGCTACGGAGGTGGAGTTCATATTAAGATGAGGAGGAACCGTTGAATGCTTTTATTTAGAGCAACATGAGAAGATTTGGAATTTAGGATAATTACCTGGAAGTATACCGTCAAGCAGTGAGATCAACATCAACTATCATCTACATTCTACCATTTATTTAATGCCTGCTGTGTATCTGACTTGTGTATACATTATTGCACTTAATTCAGCACCCTTTGAATTAGATTTATTGGCATTATTTTATGGATAAGGAAACACAGGGTGATAGAGGTTAATAGGGGAGTAAGTGATGGGACACACAGGAGAGAATATGTTTGATTACCTGCCATTCCACCTGGTGATTCTAAATTACTGGAAGTTAAGAAGAGAGATGGTAATTTGTTGATCCTTGGTCTTAATTCTCATGTTTTATATGAACATTTTGCCGAATCTAGTTTGATTTTGATAATGTATGTTCCCTACATGATAGCTTTTAACCCAAGTCTGTTATTTCATCTGGTGCTCAATCAAAGAAACTTCAGTTTATTCTAGCACTAGAGGGAAAAAATGGTTGTGTTGGGCTCACGGAAAGAGAACATACCAATCTGCAATGTGGAGCCACATCTTTTCCAGAGTTTTTCACCTTACAGAATTTTTATCCCTATTCTTTAGAACCCTTAGGATATATAAACCACTTGGTTCCCCATTCCTTCTCCTTTTCCTCTATATAAAATTATCTTTGGGAAATATTTGAAATGATACCTCGTTGGAATTTGAAATGTGTTAGTTGTATAATTAATAAAATCTCATATGTGTGACATTTTGGGCTGGATGATTAAAAAACAACAACAAAAAAATCTCATATGTAACATAGGACCTGGCTTTTCAGGTAGTTTGAAACTAGATTTTTTTTGTGTTTTGCTCCACATTTATATAATGTACTGAAGTGATAGTTCTTGGAAGTTAAAAAAAACTGATTATTAATCCAGTCACACTCTTCATTAGCTTTCTAAATCCTGTCAAAATTGGCCATTTATCCTTTCATCCTTAGTTTTTCAATTGAAAATAGAAATAAAGTACCTCTTTTCTCCTAGAAATGTGGTATAATGATTCAATAAATTCTTAAAAATTTACTTAAATTTTTAATTTAAATGTATTTATTATTTATTAAAATTTATTTAAAATTTAATGTACATAACTAAAAGGAGTATTGCAAAGAAAGATAGCATATGTACAGTTTTGACTTGCTGTACTCACCTTTTACTCCTTTTATTTCAGCTCAATCTGAAATAGAAGTGTCTGTCTCTGCAAGGAATATCAGAAGGTTACTAAGTTTCCAGCGGTATCTTAGATCTTCACGCTTTTTTCGTGGTACTACCGTTTCAAATTCTCTGAACATTTTAGATGATGATTATAATGGACAAGCCAAGGTGTGTATAGCTTTTTTAAGAAAATATTAATTTTTTGACAAGTTTACTCAAGCCTTTTTTCCTCATATTAAAATGATTTATAGAGCTTTTTAGGTCTTTGAAAAGCAATTGAGCCCATTTTATAGGTTTTTCTTTTTTTCTTTAGAGAAGCTGTTCATTTATAATTAGTATTACAGAGCAAGAAAAATTTCTGAAGTAACTAAAGAAACATTTATTATTATAACATTAAGTAACAAGTAGTTCACTACAACATTAAACTGTAAGATCTCACAGGATTTGAATGCTGGGAAGAATATTAGAGATTACCTGATCTAACAATGTCTGTATTCTATCAGACATTAAGGGCTGGAGAGCATAGGGCCTTGTTTGAGCTCACCCTGCTGGTTAGAGCTAAACCCAACACTGGAAGTTAGGTCTCATGATTTTCAGTCCAGTGGATTTTCATAGTGTTTTGCATCAAAGAGAGACATATCTTAATTAAACCCGGTAATTGTGAGCATTATTTACTTCTTCATCTTTATATAATTTAAAAGAAAAGTCTTAATGAAAGTCAAGATTCAATGAGCTTGTTTTTGACCAAATGAGGGTTTTAAATAATCTTAAATGTTTAATATATTTTAAATTATTCTTTGGCTTAATATTTACAGGCCAGATTTTTAAGTTTGTGTAGACAAGTTTGTAAGTTGTAGAGATAAGGCTAGGGTACCTTTTTTACGATTACATTAAAGTGGAAAAATTTGCTTCCCTGTGTGATAAAAGAAATCAGTGGAAAGTGTTCATGCTTTTTTCTTTATGTTTTAAAAGGCTTACAAGTTCTGCATTTTAGAATGAGAATATTGATCTGTGTGTATCATTGGTTGTTATGAGTACTATCATAATCAACATTCTCTACTAGTAGTATCTTACTAGCTCATGTCAGTTTATTCATAGATGTATACAACAGTGAACTTTGAGATAGAAATAAAAGTTTTTTTCTTGAAAAAGTCCACAAAATGTTCAGGTTAAGAATATATGGTGTAGCTAGGCACAATGGCTCACACCTGTAATCCCAGCACTTTGGGAGGCTGAGTGGCAGGATCACTTGAGGTCAGGAATTCAACATCACTCTGGGCAACATAGTGAAACCCCCATCTGTAATAAAAAAATAATAATAATATGTGGTTTAAAAATATTTGGTTTTTAAGGTCTTTGTAGGATTTTATGCACTTGACTGAAGTATATAGCACCCTAAAAGTTTATGTAGTAAATTTTATTAATTAAAGAATATGAATATCAATAAGTTGGAAGTGTTTTTAAAAATTAAAAATGAATATTTTAAGCATAGTGCCTAGGTTCCAGAATCAGACTGCCTGATTTCAGATCCCAGCTCTATCATTTTCTTGCTGAACAAGTTAGTTACCTTTTGCCTGTTTCCCCAGGCAAATAGAATGAGGATTGAAAATAATGCCTGCTTGATAGTGTTGGTGTGAGTAGTGAAAGAGTGAGAAAAGTACTTATAACAGTACTGGGAGTGTAGTAAGTACTCAGTAGTTATTATAACTTATTTTTACTAGATTTTTAAAATCTGGCTTCTAGACCAGAAAATATATGAACTACATTTCAGTGATGTTAAGTTAGATTAGAATTCTTGAAAGTTTGTAGGACCGTAGGAATAAGTTGAGACAGAAACACTAACCTTATCTGTACATTCATTAATAGAAAAACAAAATAATATTTCATTTTTCAAATGGAGTTTATCCCTTTGGACATTTTTTGGAGCCAAGTGAAAAAGTTGTGATTAAAAGGGGAATAATACTTGACATTTTTAAAAGTAAATCAGTCACTTTCCATTTTCATTAACTTCTCTATGGACTTTCTACAAAAGATAGAATGTTATTGAAATTAAATTACAGTAGGAATGTTTGGTTTTCATTTCAGTGTATGCTGGAGAAAGTTGGAAATTGGAATTTTGATATCTTTCTATTTGATAGATTAACAAATGGTAAGTGAAGAATTTGATTTTCTTAATTTAATGTAGTCTCTAGATTTCTGCATTGATGGTACAGCCACTGGTGGGTTGTTGCTTTCATTTACCATACTTAGGTTATGAGCCCTCTGCTGGCAGAGGGAGCATCATTTTGTCCCTTTTTTAGTGACTTTTCTAAAAGCCTAGAGGATCAATCTTGTAATTTTATATTTTGATTGTTACCTTTAACAGTAATCAAAAATCATCATCATTATCATCATCATCATCACGGCTTGGCTGATTGGCAATTAATGCTGCTATTATTAATAACCCAAAGTGAACGTTATTGTCTCATTATGTTTTTGATTTTTCTTTTTTGGTTTCTTTTGGATTGTGACCATTTACAATGACATCTGACATCGTATTCCTATGTTGAGAGCCTCAGATGAGTGGTGGATTAACCGCTTTCGAGAGGCATCCTTTTCTTTGCTTGTTTGAGAGAAACGGTGTAGCACGGTGGTCCCCAGCGCCTGGCCTGGAGACGAGTACCGGTCCATGGCCTGTTAGGAACCGGGCCACACAGCAGGAGGTGAGCGGCAGGCCAGTGAGCAAAGCTTCATCTGTACTTACAGCCGCTCCCCATCGCTCGCATCGCTGCCTCAGCTCCATCTCCTGTCAGATTCCCGGCACCCTCCGGTCCATGGGAAAATTGTCTTCTTTGAAACTGGTCCCTAGTGCTAAGAAGGTTGGGGACTGCTAGTGGAGCACGATCAGCAGCAGTGGTTCCCTCTGGCACTGCTTCCTGATGGTGGGATGGGAAGGGCTTGTAGCTTCTTCAGGAGGGTTTATCCGAAGCTACAGAGAGTATGTGTGGTTTGAGAAAAGATGCCCACAGGCTATTCTGATCTGCTTACCCCCTCCTGAATTTAGTTTAGTTTTGTTTTGGGAGGAGGGATCACGTTTTCCTATTCTCTTTGGGAACAGGAATATGTTCATTGGGAACAGGGGAATAATTTTTTGTTTTTTGAGACAGAGTCTCACTGTGTTGCCCAGGCTAGAGTCGGTGGCGCCAGCCTAGCTCACAGCAACCTCACACTCCTGGGCTCAAGCGATCCTCCTGCCTCATCCTCCCGAGTAGCTGGGACTACAGGCACGCACCACTGTGCCCGGCTAATTTTTTCTATATATTTTCAGTTGTCCGATTAATTTCTTTCTGTTTTTAGTAGAGACGGAGTCTTGCTCTTGCTCAGGCTGGTTTCAAACTCCTGAGCTCAAACAATCCTCCCGCCTTGGCCTCCCAGAGTGCTAGGATTATAGGCGTGAGCCACCGCGCCCAGCCGGGAATAATTTTTATTTAGGATAAAATCTTTGGTGTAATTCTTGCCAAGAATTAGGGTAGAAGTAGTTCAGCTGTCTTTTGCCCCTTCTATCTAAATAGCTTTTCAATAAAATAAAGCAGAGTAGAAAGTACACTGAGAGGAACTCAGTTCTGACTGTATAATCGTAAAGTAAACTTGTGGTCACTGCTATGCTTTGAAATCACCTGCTTTCTCTTATTTCACTTTGGAATGAAGCTCCTTTCATAAGGAAGTCAAATATGTGAAATGGTGAGCAAAGACAGCTTTATTTTTCTTGAGAATCACTGTGGGCCTTTTAGTGTGTCACTACATTACTCCCTCGAAGCTGTATGGCAATGCATAACGAAAATACCTTTGTACATACCTTCTGTTTGTTTACGCGCTGTTGATAGAAAATAAATTGGACCGACCCAAGGCAAAAGAGTGAAGACAGTGAAGTTTGCCTTTATTGGCAAAGCCAACCTCTCACTTCCCTGCCTTTTTATCCTTCCCTTTGCTGTTTCTCTTGCACCTTTCCTTTGCCCTTTGGTGATTAAGTGTTCCTCTCCCTGCCCCCGCCTTGGCCCGTCTACACAGGAAAGGCTCTGATATCATTTACACAGTTGGCCTGCTCCTCTTTGAAAATATAGGTAGTGAACTATCAGGTGGCCCACCTTCTGCTAGCTCTGGGAAATTCGCCTTTCCTAACTCAACACAAATATTACTTTAATTATCATCTCACAATAAATACAGACGAAACAACGCCACCCTTAACACCTGCAGGGTTTAGCCTTATATAAACTCTTAACAGCTCATGGCCTATTATTAGTCTACAGGACGCTTGTCACTCATTGAAATAGTTGATTGTTCTTCTCTAAATTTTATTTTTAAAAAGTACATACGCTGTTAGTCAGAGGACATGATGAAAGTGGTGTGAGTTCAACAGCGTGTTGGATGGACAGAAGAAATAGCCACCAGGCTACCTGGGTTAATTAAGAAACCTGTGTCCCCTTTGATCTCCTCACTCCTTGAACTGGATTTGTGGAGAGGGTGGCTGAATGGTTTCCCTTTAGGGTTGATTCCAGATCATTAGGGGTTAGCAGAAATCACTCATGGTTAGCTATCCACGTGGTGATATATACATTCGATTGACTGCAGCTACCCGAAAGTTACAAGACTTCTCTACTTGGAGAGATATTATTGAGGAGCAAATTGGCAGAAGAAAATTCCTTCAAATTGCATTCTGTAATGAGAATGGCTTTCCTTTCAAAACTGCTTAGCCTGAAGTGAATTCTGGGTGATATTCACTCATGGTATCCAAGAGGATAGTGTCCCCTTCCTGCTAATTGATGCAACGCTTTCTTGTATTTCTCACCCTGGTCATTTCCCACATGACACTGGGAGGAGAAGGAAGCAAAACTCAGTGATTCTTGCCAAGACAAATGGTCCCCGGCCTGTCTGCTCCGAGGAGGGTAGTCATTGTCTAGTAGGATGCATTTGATGTTCCTTTCACAGAGATGACAGCCAGGTGACGTGAACTAGCAAGATGTAGCCTGTTGGCTTGTGAGGACACTACTGTCAGACCCCATCTGGGATCACTTTCTCAAAACCAGTGAGGGCCGCTACACCTTGGGCATTTCTATCCCTTGGTATATTTTTATGAGTGTAGCTTCTCTATAAATACAATTTTCTTTTTCAAGAAAATGTTTGTTTCCATTTCCATTTTTAAAAAGTTCTTCTGTACCTGTTTTTTGTTGAGCACAACTAAGCATCTCTTGTTTTGAAATGTTTTGTCGACTTGTGCTTTTATTTACTGGTGTAATACTCAATATCTTATTAACAGAAAAGGAAAAAAATGTTGCCTACAGCTTTTCAATTTGATATTGGTAGTACACTTTAACAGATTGGTTCTTGTAAGATTCCTTTAAAGTTCTTAGTTGGGGACATTCCATGTGTCTCTTAACTGCGATTTGCCTGGATTCCGGAAGAGGGTATTTTCCCATTAGACTGTAGCTTTCTTAAAACTAGACCCTAGAAATTGGAAATGTGTTGTGTTAGGTTTGGAAAACAATTTTGGGGGAACCCGTGATAACCTAGGTATACAGAATGAATAAACATTCTAAAATATCTATGCATATAAAAGTTGGTTGTTACAGCAATAATAACAGAAACACAGCTCACTTCTTCACAAATGGCTCCAAACCACATGGACTCCTGTTTATACCAGCAGAGTGTTATTAAGACATGAATGCATTTTAACATTTGATTTCTTAAAAATAAAAGATTTGAAATGTGTTTTCTTTCCACGTGAGGGTGATATGTCAGGTAGTTTTTAAAAAGAATGTCTTTTGGTCTGCCACATCCTTTCTAATGTTGTTCATGCAAATATTACTCCAGTTGGTTTATTTTTCCTCAGCCATGGGCTTCTGTTGGCAATTGCGTAGGCAGCTTTGGATAACGAGTTCAGCCAAATAGTTTATTATCCTTCGTATTATTGCTATAAATTTTCAATGTGGGACTAGTTATGTCTTTTATACATTTTAGTAAGAATCATAGATTTCTTTAGAGAACACTCTAATCATATTCATTTTATTGCTGTTATCTGAATGTTGGCAATAATTTATGAGTCTTTAAAATATGTAGTCTATTTAATTGTTAAAATAGTATAGCATATGTATTTTATAGAAGTTGTTTACAAAACTTTGAGAAATATCACAGGAGGTATAAAAAATGGAGAGGTACCATGGAAGGGAAAATGAAACATTATAAAAATGGTAGTTTTTTCTAATTTAATTTCTGGACTTGTATGACTCCAGTTGTCTGTGACATAGGAGTGCCCCATTGCATGTGGCAACTGTTTCAAAAACTCACCTGTGCAGGAGGATGGAGAGGGAGAAAACGGAGTGGCCGAGAGAGGCCGGGATTGTTTGCTGTTTCGCAGAGGAGAGACTCTAGAGCATGTCTGAATGCTGATGCTTATTGGGACAGTATAGAAAATGGAGGGGAGATTGGTTGATTGATTTGGGTGGGGATGGATGTATCTGATGGATAAGGAAGGTCCCTGGGGAAGTATGGAGGCCTTGGTTTTTGAAAGAAAGGGAAATTGAGGGCTTGTATTTTTTTCTGTGACAGATGAAGCTGTAGAGATGAGGGGGTGGATGGGAAGTGAGTATGTTGAAAGTTTGAGAAGAATAGAAAATGCTTAAAAACAGACATTTTAAAAAGTGAAAGAACCATTTTACAAAAAAAAAAAAAAAACATAAGACAATTGTTGGGCAGTATTAAATTTATAGCAGTAGAGTTCTACCTACTTTTGTGATTCTGCCCTCTTCCTCACCCCAGCAACTCTCAGATTTTTTTCTGCAATTATGCAAAAGGCAAGTGGTTGAGTTCAGAGTTTTGATCCTCAGGATTTTGAGGGGGTCATTGGTCACTTCTGCTGGCCCTGTATGGATGGGAATAAACACAACCTCCACCTAACAGCGAAGGCAGTCTGCTCTTGGGCAGTCCGTTCCAGTAAAAAGCAAGATAGTAGAGGGGGTGTCAGGAGACGAGGTTAAGTGCAGCTGCATTTTAGGGGCTTTGGAAAGTTGAATTAGCATATACACTAGGGAGGCAGTTTTGAAAGTTTCTTACTGTCAATCCTAATTATTTTGATGTCTTTCAAAAAAATTAATCTATTTGAAAATGTTTATCTTCCAGTTCTTTTGTTGTGGAAAAGTGAAACAACAAAAATTCATTTTTTCTTAGAGTGAAACAAAGATGTGACATTTAAAGTTCGTAACTGGTAAAATAAGAAGATGGAAATTTTAGATAGACAAAAAGTAGGAATTATTATAGTACTTTCTTTCCATGTTTTATATTCACAATCCATATTTGAAAGCATAATGTAATCATGTTAGCTTATGTTTCCTACTAATGTAGTGTCTCTTCTTTCTTTTAGGAAATAGTCTAGTAAGCTTAACCTTTCATTTATTTAGTCTTCATGGATTAATTGAGTACTTCCATTTAGATATGATGAAACTTCGTAGATTTTTAGGTAAGTGATTCTAACTCATTTAACAGTAACGAGATTTATATTAATACAAAGACCTGTTTAAATATTATATCACAGTTACATCAGTTAGCTATTGCGCTATAACAAACCACCCAACATTAGTGGCTTGAACCAACACACATTTATTTAGCTCTTGCATCTGTGGGACTGTTAAATGCTTCTTCTGGTCTGGCTGGGTTCATTTATGCACCTGCAGTCAGCAACCGTTGAGCTGCACTTTTGCAGGCCTTGGCTGGGACCTCAGCTGGGACACTGGGCCTGGCCCAGCTCACCTCTGCATGGTCTCCTATTAAACGTATAAGAGACAGAGGAGTTTGGCACCGTAACAGATTCACATAAAAAAAAATATTTCTTTTATAATAATAAGCTGAGCTTGTTCAAACAGTAGTGGCAGGTTTCCAGGAGAGAGCTGATGTGTGCAGGCCTCTGCAGCCCCGGGCTCAGAACTGCCCACCTTCACTTCCACAGCTGGCTGTTGGCCACAGTAAGTCGGATCAGGGATGAACCTATGCCTCTGGGGGAAAATCTGCAGTCTCAGAGCCATAGATGCAAGGAATAGTGAAGCATCGGGATGATGTTGTAATCAGTCTCGTACACTGCCATAGCTTGCTGCCAAAGATGACATAATTTCTATACTTTTCTAAACTTTTGAAAGCTAAAACTTTAAAAGATAAGTTGCACTTAAGTCTCTTCATTTTCTGATCCCCGAAATCTCTTGACTGTAGACTTTAAAGGTTGTTTTACATATGTTTAAATGTGCAGGGTGATATTTATATAATACTGCTCTGCTAGGAAACAAGTTAAAGCGTTTCACCAAATGAAGAAATATCTTAGAAAAAATTAAGGATCATGAGGATTCTTTCTTAGTTTTTTTTTTTAAGAAGAAGGTACTATTGTCTATCCTCTGAAGTACCAAACTAAGATAAATTTATTACCTAGGACTTTGGAGAAACTTTTAAATGCATATTAATTAATAAGTAGTGTGCCCGTCGTACTGTGCCGTAGTCCCCCTTTATCCGCAGTTACGCCCTCTATGGTCTCAGTTATCTGCTGTCAACCTCGGTCTGAAAATATTAAATGGAAAATTCCAGAAATAAATGATTCCTACGTTTTAAATTGCGAGTTCTGAGCAGCATGATGAAATTTTGTGCTGTCCTGCTCCATCCTTCCTGGGCTGTGAATCACTTTTTTGTCCAGCGTCTCCACACTGTGGACGCTCCCCACCCGTTAGTCACTTAGTAGCTGTCTCGGTTATCAGATCAACTGCCACTGTATTACTGTACTTGTGTTCAAGGAACCCTTATTTTACTTCATAATGGCCCCAGAGTGCAAGAGTAATGATGCTGGTACATTGTTATGATTATTCTATTTTATTAGTTATTGTTAATCTCTTACTGTACCTAACTTAAAAATTAAATTTTATCATAGGTATGTTTGTATAGGAAAAAACATAGTATACATAGGGTTTGGTACCATCTGCAGTTTCAGGCATCTACTGGGGGTCTTGAAACGTATCCCCCGAGGACAGAGGGGGGACTACTGTACTAATATGTAAATTACAAAATACATACAAAAACCGATATTAAGGGTATTTAAAAGGCTATTTTTTGGCCGGGCGCGGTGGCCCACGCCTGTAATCCTAGCACTCTGGGAGGCCGAGGAGGGCGGATTGTTTGAGCTCAGGAGTTCGAGACCAGCCTGAGCAAGAGCGAGACCCCGTCTCTACTAAAAATAGAAAGAAATTAATTGGACAACTAAAAATATATAGAAAAAATTAGCCGAGCATGGTGGCACATGCCTTTAGTCCCAGCTACTCGGGAGGCTGAGGCAGTAGGATTGCTTGAGCCTAGGAGTGTGAGGTTGCTGTGAGCTAGGCTAACGCCATGGCACTCACTCTAGCCAGGGCAACAGAGTGAGACTCTGTCTCAAAAAAAAAAAAAAAAAAGGCTATTTTTTGTCACTGGTCAACTTGAGATAAAAATAAATAAATAAAAGATGATTTGAAAGGATGGGATGGAAGGAAGTGCAGAATTGTAATGCTCTTTCCCACTCACCGGCAGGGGTCACAGCTCCACCCCTAATCCTAGTCTGTTCTTCCATCATAGCATGGCAGACACTGAGCAAGAAGGCAGGATTAACAGAAAACTCATTCCTGGTGCTAAAAAGCTAATTCCAGATCCAAAACTTACTACCCTGGTGATGCACACACAGTATAATTTTCATATATTCCAGTATCTGTACTATTTTAGCTTCATAAAGATTTTTGCTTGCTACTGAATTTCTAGCTAGTACCTAGAATAGTACATAGCACAGCATTTGTTGAATGAATTACACCTTTTTTTTTTGAGACAGAGTCTCACTCTGTTGCCCTGGGTAGAGTGCATCATAGCTCAAAGCAACCTCAAACTCCTGGACTCAAGTGATGCTCTTGCCTCAGTCTCCCCAGTAGCTGGGACTCCAGGCGCGTGCCACCACGCCCAGTTAATTTTTCTATTTTTAGTAGACACAGGGTCTTGCTCTTGCTCAGGCTGGTCTTGAACTCCTGAGCTCAAGCAATCCTCCTGCCTCAGCCTCCCAAAGTGCTAGGATTACAGGTGTGAACCACTGCACCCAGCCAATTGTACTTTTTTTTTTTTAGACTGAGAAACTCAGTTAAATTAAAGAGTCAGAGTACCATTAAACAAAAAGAGTCAGAGGAGATTGGCACCATGATAGATTCATATTTTAAGAGAAAAAGAAAAAAATATTTATTTTGTGATTTTGACATGAATACATTCTCATTAAAAAAATTTCCAGACAAGTTACGAGTACAATCAATATTGAATCTTTGGGTATACATGTGAGTTGTGAGGTGACTGTCATCCCCCTGAATCTGGGCAATATTAGCTGATAGCTACATAAAAAGTATGAGTGGATAACTCATAATTATCACAAATTTTGTACGTGTACATGTTGCCCATTGACAGTAAAGTTGGGCTCTTTTTCTTTGCTGCAGTTATGATTCAGGAAGACTACCACAGTCAGAATCCTTACCACAACGCAGTCCACGCTGCGGACGTTACTCAGGCCATGCACTGTTACTTAAAAGAACCTAAGGTAAGAGGTTGACATTTACTTCAGGTGAAAATCTAAGAAAATTCCTTCTGATTTACTTTATTTTTCCCTAAGTTAGTGATTTGACTTAAAATCTGAAGTTTCCTTCACATGAAAGAGATCTAGCTCCATCAAGTTTCCAAACGTGGCTCTCTGTGTAAGTGCAGCAACTGGAGAATTGAAGTGGTTGTTGAGAGAGTCTCTGGAGAACCCAAGTGGGGCCCGATCACTGGAAACCCCAGGTGCTGGGTTAAGACACTGGCTTTTCCGCTGAGCTCTGCGTGAGCCCCACGAGGGCAGGGACAGCATTGGTGTGGCTCAGCTGATGAACGGAGAGCTACGGAAGGGAAGCATGGGACTTCAGAGAGTTATCCTGGACGAGGTGTGAGAATAAATTGGGCAAGACCAGAAGCATGACTACCTGCCAGGAGCTATGACAGTGCTCCCTGGAAGAGAGCAAGGCAGGCTTGGGGAAGGAGACAAGTGGTTTGTAAGATCTCTTGGGAACTGGAATGAACAGGATGTGGTGTTTGAATGTGTTTGGGGAAAGGAAACAGAGACGTCCATGATAACTGGTTTGGGCAGTTGAGAAGAAGATAGAAGTCTTCTGTGAGGGCTGAGTGTGCAAAGAGGAGCAAGTTTGGGGGGTAGGGCCGGGAGAGGCGATGAGTTCCACGTTGGATATGTGGAGTCACATGTAGTTGTGCCACATCCAAACAAAGACATCCAGCAGGGAGTTGGATAGAAGAGGCTAAAGTATAGGAAAGAAATCAGACTGATGTACACATTTGGGAGCCATCAGCTGTAGATGTTAAGGAAAGCCATGTTTGCCCATGGGCTTGTCCTGTAAAATTACATCTGCCTATTCCTAGCCCTACTTCAAAACAGTTCTCTCCTGGGGTCTCAGTTGTGGCTAGATGTCAGGCAGGAAGCAGGTTGACCAAACCCATTCATGCTAACTTGAGAAGACAGCCAGTCTTCCTATTATTTGAGAGATTGTGGAATATGTGAAAATGTCCCAATTTTTTTAGTGTATGTATCATGACTTTTTGGAGGGAAAAATCAACTTTATTGTATAACTTACATGCAGTAATAAAATGCACACATTTTGCATGTACAATTTTGACAAATGTATACTCCCAACTGCCCCCAGTTTTTTAATTAAACTTTTTTAAAACTCTGGGCCAAGCCTGAAACCTCTATTTGAGAATCTTGTGGGAGAAGTTGATGAGTAATCACCATACAGTCTGATAAATGGAATAATGGCATAGAGGAGGGTTACCCTGGTCTGTGAAGGCTTCTCCCACTCCTACTGGGCACACCCAACCAACCATGGGAAATCGGGGTGATGCCGGGTGAGCAGGGCACGGAGACATGTGGCTAGATATGAATAGAAACATGATTTTTAGGATTTTTGCCTATAGAGCTCTGATAATACTTAAACACTTTTCATCATACTCAGTGAATTCGTTAGCTAAAGCATCAATTAAGGTACAGATAAAATCACTAAGCCCTAAAATGCAAGCAATTCCCTTCTCCTTTATCATGGTGAACATTTAAAAATAGAGTCACTCAAAGTTTTAAAAGTGAGTTGTAAACAATTAGAAGCCTTAAGATTGTCTCTCCTTTACTTCCTGAGCCTTCACATAACATCACATTTTTGAGTGTTTCCATTCATTCATTCACTGCCTATTCATTGAGCGTCTACCACGTGCCAGGCACTGTCGTGGTGCTAGAAATACAATGGTGGACAAGGAAGGAATGGCCCCTGCCTCATGAAGCTCACATCCCAGTGGGAGAGGCAATCATTAAACAGACAGATAAATAGGATTTCGACATGTATCGCAGTAATTACTGCTGTGCAGAAACCAAAATAGAGTGACGTGCTAGAGAATGACCAAGTGCATGATAAGAGTTTACAATTTAAGGTGGTCAGAAAGCACTGTCAGTGCCAGTGCGTAATGGAGGAGTCGGCCACGGAAAGTCCAGGTGCAGAGGGAGTAGTAAATAGAAAGGCTTAAATATACATATATTCAGTGAGAAATTTGTTTTCAATTTTTATATCTTATGACTTATATGGAAGAGCTAATTCTTAGGCTGTTTTCTAAGTGAAAAAAAAAATATTTCAAGCCCAAGAAATCATTGGAAATTTAGGGAACAGATCCTTCTCTCCATACATGCATTATCTCTAACTTTAGTATTTATTTTTTTATGTCCTCAAGGCTGAACTTATGTGGATTATAAAGCATTTTTTTCCCGTTGAGCCTAAAATCGCCTTGATTTATTGACACCGATAACATTCATAGTTGTCAGCTGAGGAGACTGTAATTTTCCCCTCTGTTTCCTATTTTAATGTTTAGTCTCGTGTTTACCTATGAGTTTAAATTAATTACTATACTTGATTAATAACTATTCTTAAACTGGGCCTGAATAAAAATTATACTCACACATGTTCCAGAGATAAACAGACCTACTCTAACACTGAACCTTTAACTCTTGCTCTGCTTGTCCCTGGCAATTGATGTAAGAGCTTAGGGCCCCCGTAACCCCCGCCCCGCCACACCCTCTCTTTGATGTCTGTGAGTCTAGGATGGTTGAGTTGCTTTTCTTGTGGACGTACATTTGTTGGTGCACTGAGTGGATGCTAGATAACAGGCTAGTTGCCGATGACAAAAATATGAATAAGATATGAATTTTGACCTCTGTCTAGAATCTTGTGGAACATACTGGAACCTGATATGGAAACCACAAGAATGTCGGCCCCCCGAGGGCAGGAATTTTTGCCTGTCTGTCCGCTAATGTATACCTGTCTCCTAGAACAGTGCTGGCTCGTGGCAGGTGCTCAGATAATTGAGTCATCTTAATGAGTGGCTGTTGCTATATGGTCTTTGTAACTGAGTGGGTTTACTCCAGCTTAGTTCTGTCTTTAGACCTCTAGATTATTCCTGATTTTATTGTTAACAGCTGATACTACGGAAGCCCTCCCTGGCCTTTTCCCTTTTGTGTGTGGGAGGTTCTTTAATTTCAGTAAGTCCTCAAGTCTGACATAATATATCCAAGAGTCTGGATATTTTATCTTACTAAACTGCTTCCTTCAGTGATAGTACCACTTTCTTTTTGCCCTCAGCAAGGCATCAGTATCTCAGTTACCCTCTTTCTGCCATTAGATATATATTTTTAATTTGCCAATTTAGCAACAAAAAGCCTTGCTTTAATTTACTTGTTTTGGTTAATTTTGAGCTTAGATTTTTTCTTTCTTTCTTGTATTTCTTCTTTGGGGAAATTTCTATTTCAGCTTTTGTTATTTCCTACAAAATATTTTCCCTAGTCAGTTTGTATTTTAATTTCAATTGTGGGTTATTTTTCCCCATGTTTTCCTCCAGGATAGCTGCTAAAATTATTTTGAAATTGATTAATGTCTTATATTAAATTAATTAGACACCTGCAGTAGCCATTACAGTGGGAAATCATAATGCTGGCAAACAATGAAAACAGTGAGTTTTTTACTGAATACAGGAAAACTCACCACTTAATAATCTTCTATTTTATTGAAAAAAGTGCTGATGATGGCTTTGCAGATACAAGTGAAATCTGACCTTCATAGACATTAAATGATTTGCAATTTCTTCTTCATACAACTCTTCTTCATTGTCTCATATTACCAGATACAATCATAGAATGGAAATAACATTTGTCTTTTTAAAAATTCATTTTAAAAAGATGTGTTGTACCAATCCCTATCTCTTACCATATATAAAAGTTAGATTAGCTAATAAAGATAGATTAAAACTTAAATGTAAGAGCTGACTAGAAAAAAAATGTGTTGTCATTGAATTTCTTGTCTTTGTTATAATACTCATGAAGTTTTCTTTCTGATGAAGGGTTTTTTTTACAAGAAGAAATGTTACATTTTACACAGTCAGATATTTCTTTTTTTATGTGTATGATTTGTTTTCAAACTTACTTTCCCTTCACAGAACTTTGAGAATTCAGTTGCTTCACATGTTTTTAATGGTTAACTCTTTAATCTGCCTAAGATTGCTTGATATCATGTGTAGTCATAATTTTTTTAATAATTCTAATTTTGAGTTATTATATTCTCCCAGGATAGTGTATGACACTAAGAATATAACCATTTTGCATATTGCTTAATAAATTACGTGTTCGTGAGATATACACACCCAAGCCCATTCATTTATATGTCAAGGAGGGGTGGTTGCTTTATATGCAATATGCTCTGTGTCAGATGCCTTCTGTTCATCTTGATTGTAAGCAGTGCTTTAAAATCTTTATTTTAAAAATGCTTTTGCCTATCCTAAAGAGGAAATAATTTTCTTTACTATCTTGTCCCTATTCATTGAGCTTCTCCTTATACAAATTACATGTAATACAAAATTAAATAATACACACTCTCTTTTTTTTTGGAGAAAATCTTGCTCTGTCACTCACAATAGAGTGCAGTGGCGTCACCTTAGTTCACTGCAACCTCAAACTCCTGGACTCAAGCAATCTTCCTCCCTCAGCCTCCCAAGTAGCTGGCACCACAGGTGTGCACCACCACACCTGGCGAATTTTTCTATATTTTTGGTAGAGATAGGGGTCTTGATTTTGCTCAGGCTAGTCTTGAACTCCTGAGCAAGATCAAACTAATCGAACTCCTGGGATTGCTCAAGTGATCCTCCCGCCTTGGCCTCCCAGAGTGCTAGGACTACAGACGTGAGCCACCGCGCCGGGCCCACTGTCTGCCTTCTAATAGCTTGTAGTTTTCAAGGAGATTCAAGCCCTCAGACAAGATTTTTCTGACTGAGATGAACTTAACACAGTCAGTAGAAAAAGATGATCTATTTTGGCATACAAAGAAAATCATAGAATTTGAATCTAAATTTATTTTTTATCTCATTTTTTAAATTTTCAGTTTTCATCTTTGTTTTATAATATGCAGTATATGTTAGTTCAGTATCATAATCCATGTATAAATATACTTAATACTTGTGGTGTGTGCTAAAAATTTTTTATCGTTAGGGCATAAGATGATAAAAGTTTAGGGAGCATTGTCCTAATGTAAACATAAGTAAAAGTATGCTCTGATGAATGTTATCGTGGCAGGCCACTAAGGGCTACAGGAACACAATCAGTTATTTGCTAGGGAAGGGGCTGGAACAGGGTGGGTGGGTCAGTGGAGCTGGCCCTTAAACGATGCGTTGAAGTTTGCCAGAAGATGAGAAGCAATTCATGAAAAGCTGGTGGTATACTCAAGGTGATAATTTTTTATTATTGAAATTTTCAGTCAATAATAAACTTTTATATATCGTGATTATTATATTATACCAAATAAGTTTGGTAATGGTTATTGAGTAAAGTTATAATTTCTGGTTTACGAGATTGTTTTTTCTAACATTGTGTACATTGTTCTGAATGTACCCATCTATTTGGGAGAGGAGTTTATTACAGATTTCTGCTCACATGATTACTCAGTAGTTGCCTTAAATATTAGGACTACAGGAATAACCTTGCATTTTAGATTGTATTATTGAAATTCAATAACCACTGTGTTGATGAATAAACACCCTCGAAATTGTAGGTCTTCTGTTTGGTAATGGCTACAGCAATAAAAATGTGCAAACCTGCGTTCGTTATTTTAAAGGCATTATTTCTCAGAAAGAATGGTTTATACTTTAGCCATTATAATTAAGTTTGTTAAACATGAAACAGCATAAGGATGCGCTCTGTAAATTCCACGTGGGCAGGAGCAGTGTCGTACCACCTGATGAGGCCGGGGTCTGGCCAGCACTTGGTGGCCTCAATGATCAGCTGCCTGAAGAAGGACGTGGAGGGGGAGGGAACAGCCAGCACTGCCATTGGCTGCTAGTTCAAAACCGTTGTGATGGCAGAGAGCTTGTTTCAGATGTGTCTGATGTATTATTCTCTTGTCACACTTCAGCTTGCCAATTCTGTAACTCCTTGGGATATCTTGCTGAGCTTAATTGCAGCTGCCACTCACGATCTGGATCATCCAGGTGTTAATCAACCTTTCCTTATTAAAACTAACCATTACTTGGCAACTTTATACAAGGTTAGTGCAATTTTATCACCCAAATTTCTATTTGTGCATTCTAGAAAATGTTTCACGTTTTGAGGAAATGAAGATAGTGAAAACAAATTCTCAGTGAATGTCAGAATTTTAACCAGACTGATATTACTAATAAGTATTTATGTCCAGAAAGAGATTTGTCACTAAATAACTCAGAAACGTACTTTTTTGTAGAATACCTCAGTACTGGAAAATCACCACTGGAGATCTGCAGTGGGCTTATTGAGAGAATCTGGTTTATTCTCACATATGCCATTAGAAAGCAGGTAGGTATTTGTTAGCAACTCTGGGAATTAAGTTGGCAAAGTAATTTTATAATGTTTTAAAAATTGTTATTATTGCCTCTGCTGATCTAGATTGCTAAAAAAAAATTATGTTCAAGTGTTCCACAGTTTTCAGTGGCTGATAAATTTAATGGATAAATTATTTTAATAATTTATATCAAAATTTTAATAATTCAAATTGTTCTGCAGTATAGTAACATTTTCATGAACATTTATTTTTATGAAAGACCATTCCATGGATTTGAATACTATAAAATTTACTTTAAATACACAGTGGCTCAGTCATAGTTTACTTTGTATTTACATAAATAGATGTTACATATCTCCACTTTATACACAGCTAAGTAAAACTTTAAGGTCTAGGTGTATATGTGAATTGGATAGAAAGTAGACATTCTGTATCATAAATAGATTCATCGAAGTCTTTTTTCAGGAAGTTTTCAAAACTGATAAGAAAATAAAGAGAGTGCATTATATCCTCAATAGCGTAGTCCTGGAGTCAGTTCTAGAGCTATAGGATAAAATAATGAATGGAAAAAACAATAGGAAATACTAATATTTTAGAAAAAATAATTTAATGTTAAACAGGGCATTTGAGGGTTTAATTAAAAGCATTAATGTAAATAAGCCCAACATGATGGTGCTGGTTAACAAAATCTCACAAGACTGGCATAGCATGGTCCACAAACAAAAGCTTTTACTAAAGCTGCACTCAGAGAAGATACACTTCAGAAAACCATGTCAGTGGATCTAAACCATCCAAGTCAGGAAAAATGGTGAGGCATAAAAATATATTTGGGTATTAAAATTTAAGTTACACTCACTGTTCTATCCTTTCCCTTTCATAATTTAAAACAACTTTATAAAAAACTAAGTGTTTTGTGTAATGACCATAAGAAAAAAGATGGACTTTATTTTTTATTTTTTTAAATCTTTATTCATGGATACCATTTGGAGTATGACAATACTTCTGGTAAGTAAAATCATTTCTTGCTGTAGTACAAATATAGTAATACAAATTGCTTAAGCACACAGTGTTTGTATATATAAATTATGGGGTTTTTTTATTAAGACAGATTGAAATGTTTGTTTCGTTATTCCCTTTATATCATGTTTTGCATTTGATGATTAACCCTGCTGAGTTCTCAGATTTAATAAAAATAAAAATAGAAATGAGGAATACTACTTAATAGCATCCTGTAATGTTTTCTTCATTTATGGTTTATTTTATTTAATATTTAATATTGTAAGCTGACAGTTCATTACTGTTCATCACACAAAGATAATGTTCGTTATGGCCCATTAAAACAAAAGGCAGGAATTTTTTTAAAGTGTATTTCTTTTGTTATTTGATTTGAGGCTGTTTTTAAAATGATATAATGTATTTGCTATTTATATTAACATGTTACCTTTTTCCCTCCAGAGAATTAAATATTCCTATTTACAAATAATTGATTGATTCTTGACTTTGACTATGAAAATATAGTTGAATCTAAACTTTAGTAAGTTATTCAGTGGAATTTCATCAGGATTTCATCAGGCATCTTAGTCAAAATGTCTATAGGAGTCAGTTGTTGAGTGTGCTTTTATTCTTTCCATTTGAATCTTCCTTCTGCCTTTCAGATCTCAAGTGCCAAAAAAACAAACCAAAGTTGTTGCCCTCAGCACAAGAATTTTCCAGTAAAGAATCTCAGCAAATAATTTTTTTAAACGACATACCAGAATTATATTGATTTTTTTTTTTAAAGTAAATAATTCCACCTTGGCTGGCAAAATAAAGGCACTTGTTTTGGAATGTTTGCATATTGGTATTTTCCTACAAATTCTCTTGGTTTTAATTTTGATTATTTTAATGGCTTTTGATGCATTTTTAAAAACTCATTTTTGTGATAAATTTTAAGTTGAATGACAATTAGAATATCTTAGGACTCTATAACGCTTTCTGACTATTAAGTTTAAGGAAAAAATATCAAGAAGTAACTATTTAATTGAAAATCTTATATTTTCTCTTTATATTTCTCTAATTCCAGGCAACAAATGGAGACTCAGATAGGTGCTTTGATACTAGCCACAGACATCAGTCGCCAGAATGAGTATCTGTCATTGTTTAGGTCCCATTTGGATAGAGGTGATTTATGCTTAGAAGACACCAGACATAGACATTTGGTTTTACAGGTAAAAGGGGGCTTGGAAAGATTCTATTTCTAGGGTAAATCATGTCATTGTTAAAATAAAAACGAAATATTCTAGCACAGTTTTTTAGAGTGGTTAAATCTTAAGGGAAAGCTAAGGAATTTCTTTTAATTAGTACACATATTTTACAGAAGGAGATCACCAGCAAATCTGCCACCAGGGAAGATACCATTGCTTTCTGTATTTGTCATAAAGTTTCTGATGAAAACAATTTCTGCAAGATTAGGGTACCAATCAACAAAGAGCATTTTATTCTAATAAATTCTCACATCTAAAAAATAGGAGAGAGAGAATTGGATTATTTATTTCTAGTTTATGGTTAATCCAGTCCTAGGGCTTGGCTCTTTGGTACTGTTGTCAAGCGTGTATAATTAGATTAGCAGTCTTACTGCCTCTTCATGGGCATTTCTGCAAAAACAGTTGGTAGAAACAATAGCATTATAAAATTAATATGAAGGACAGTTTTCTGTTGCAATATTTTTGTGTTCTTTGTCCTGGTATTAGAGTATATTTAAACTTCCTACATTGAGATTTTACTTTATTTTCTTAAAACAATTTTAATATTTTGTTTGCTAGATGGCTTTGAAATGTGCTGATATTTGTAACCCATGTCGGACCTGGGAATTAAGTAAGCAGTGGAGTGAAAAAGTAACAGAGGAATTCTTCCATCAAGGCAAGTGACAAGTGTTGAATGATAATTAATATATTCAGTTCATTTTTTAGCATCATAAGAATAAAATAAGAACTCAACCATTCAGAAGAGTCTAGCAGTAAATTCTCGATATTTTTAGTGACAATTGACAGTAGATGTACATATAATCAGTAATATACAAATGGAGCATCTGTTTTGAAAATTAATAGTCCTCTTTTGGAATGACGAGATGTATGTATGCATTTATGAATATACATGAGTATACATAGATTAGACTTGAAATTTTACCTCTACAGAAAGATTTCCCTGAACTTGCTCCATCCTTGTCATGTGTGGAGGGCCATATGAACATGGAAGATGTTATTTTTGTGTGTGATTTAAAGCCAGGATCTAGGGATCATTTCATGCACCTTCCTTTTTAAAATCTACATTGTAAATTAAAATGCTGACAGCATTACATTCTTGGGTAACACCTAGTAAAAGTTTTTGACCTCCTCCATTTAAAGAAAGATATCAGCTCGGCAACCTTTTCCATGTGTAAATAACTTAAATTTTAAAAAGAACTAATTAAGAAGCTATCCTCTTGTGAGGAGTATGTTTTTCTTAAGGAATTTACAAATATGATAAAGGCTTTAATTATATGCTTAACCAATAAGTGTGTCTCATACTAATGGTTCTATCTCTTTTTTTAATTTGTAGGAGATATAGAAAAAAAGTATCATTTGAGCGTGAGTCCACTTTGTGATCGTCAGACTGAATCTATTGCCAACATCCAGATTGGTAACTATACATGTTTAAATATAGCTGGTTAGAAAAATGCCACTGATTTTAATTTTGTCAAGAATAGAAATATATTTGAAATAGAAAATATTAAAATTACACTCATTTCCATTTTTTAAAATAATTTAACAAATTTTACGTTTATTCTCTCTTATGTGGCTCTTATAATTTACTCTCATTTGATCTTAGGTCATAAAAAGTATAATTTTGCAGAGTAGGCAGCAATAACTTTGTTTTTGTTCTAAAACTGAAAGAATACATTATTTGCCCATGTGGAAAGTTCCTTTGCATAATTCCGGGACTGCCATTTTAAAATGGAAAAGTGACTCACTGAGTGTGATGGTAACGGGAAGACCAGTTTCCACTACTGCTTCCTTTTCTGACCTGTTGATTAGATCTAACCTTTCGGCATCCTATGCAGGCCTCTCCTAATTAGGCCTCAAATTCTCTGCACCCATCTTCCCCCACCTTCCCCTTGATTTACCTATGTACGGCAACTTGGGAACTCAGTGTTCCCCAGATCTGTGCTGCTCCTTCACTGTCTGTACCTTGCCAGTCCTTCTTGTCTGCCTAATCAAGTCCTTTTTCTTGAAGACTCAGCTCAAACATCACCTTCTCCAGAGCCACCCTCCAATCACTTCAAGGAGAGTTAGTCACTCCTCTTCGAGATGCCAGAGCACTTGATACATCTCTCTCATGGCCTTGCCTTGCCTTGCCTTTGGTTCGTATTCCTGAGGCACATGAGAACTACTTGTTGAGTGAACTAGTAACTACAATAGAAAGCATAATGCAATGTTCTGTGATTGAAGTTCGTGCAGCTTGTTGCAGAAGGGCATAGGTAGGATGGTGTGTGTTGGGGTTTGGGTATAAAGATGGGGAGAGGTAACTCAACAAGGAATCGAGGGAGGAGTGTAACGTTGGCAGCCGGTGTTGAGTAGGGCCTTTGAGGATTAGGCTGAACATAGTGAAACCCAAACTTCAGAAAGATACGATTTCTAGAAATTCAGCAGGTGACATAATACTGTGGCATAACACTCTGAAAGGAGGACCATGCTGTGGGGTGAAAAATTCAGAAACATAATTCTTACATTGTGATGGCAAAGTGTCCTCACGTGGAAGACTGGTGGTGCCTGGTGTGAGTGAGGGGGGACAGGTAGACGAAGTGAAGACGAGCGTGCAGAGTGAGGCCAGACCCCCGCGTGTGCGGGCATGCCGAGTCTCTGAGAGCTCACACTGGCTGGGGATGCTGAGCTTAGCAGGATGTTTTTCTTTGGGGAGGACAGTCAGACAATTAAGAAACAGATCTGCTTTGTCTTGATTCTCTGGTAGAATAATCGTCAAATGTGAAAGATGAAAACATGGGCAGAAGAGAATCGAATTGGAGATAGGTGAATGGGTACTCAACTCACTCTAGCTACTTTAAATAAATGTCTTTTTGCCTGAGTAAACTACTGTCTCGTTTAATGAGAGAACTTGCAAATGAGGTTTTAAAAAATGCAATTTTTATAAGGGACCAGAAGCTAGGTCCCTTAAACTGTTCATCTCAAACTACCGATCTTGTCAGTGTTGAACAGACCTAGAGTGGGCTGTCAGAGGGACAGGCTTAAGATAACTGATCATGATAGTTCACATCTACTGACTCCTCACAACAACCCAGGAGGCAACACGGTGAGTGTCTCCCTTTTTCAGATCCTTTGTCCACTTCACACTGTTAACAGATGGTGTTGGGCTTCAAATTCAGGTCTTTCTGACACCCAATCCCAGCCTCTCAACTACCACACTAAGTAGTGAATACTATTACCCAGCCTGGGGTCAGTAAGTCCAATTCATGTTTAATTAATACAATTCCCTTCTTTGATAGGAATACTAATTCTGTTGAATAAGAAAATATCACATACTAGATAAAAGTAAGGCATTTGACAAGGCATCCTATAAAATCTGCAAGGATAGAGTGGAGGCTTGGAGGGCTAGTGCAATTAGGTGGATTCACAAATGGTTGAACAGCTGGGCTCGAGGTACTCCGAAAGAGAGGTTGTGTCCATGGCTCTGGGCTATTCATGTTTATTAGCTGCTTAATTTAAGATCCAAAAGAAATTTTAGGTTAACATAGAGCCGGAAGTGACAGCTAATTTGTTGGATGTTACAGACATCTTTGGATCCCCAAAGATGTCAACCAGTTGGAACAGTGGGAGGAATGAAGTAAGATGAATCATGTAAAACCTATGATAATAAGGCTCTGCATTTGGGCACAAAACTCCATCTGCTCATGACTTAACCACGGCACACAGGAAGGACATGGCATTGGGTGGCAGGCTCAACATGACACTGTGGTGTGAGGATGGCTGCCAAAAGCTGCTGCGTTCTTGGACTGCAGTAATGACATTTTCTGTTTATTATCTCTTTTTCTTCACCAGAATATAAGCTCCTTGAGGACAGGGGTCTTGTCTGTCTTACTGCTTTTGCCCCAGCCCCCTAGAATAGTGCCTGGTACATAGTAGGCTCTCAGTTAATATGTGTGGAGAGAATGGACCAATGAAAAAAAGCAAGCCTTATTGCAGATATAATTCCTATTTCAGATACCATATTTATGTACACTTGAAAAAATTCAACCATCAGTCTGGGCACAGTGGCTCACACCTGTAATTCCAGTGCTTTGGGAGGCCGAGGCAAGAGGATCGCTTGAGGCCAGGAGTTCAAGACCAGCCTGGACAATAGAGCGAGACCTCCCCCCTCCACCGTCATTTATGCTCAATATACAATATGATTTGATTGATAAGCTATGTTCTATGGGGCTTCTTTTGACCCTGTAAGTGTTTAAAAAAATAGGTCCCTGTACACATTTGGTGTTCACGTTAATAATTTTTTAACTAACCTCGCCTGTTATTTTTAGACTGATTAATTCTTATCGTGAGTTTTAGCTTTATATATTCTGTGTTAAATAAAGTGACCAATTGTAATCATGACCAGGTGTGAAGATTTCCATCCCTGAAGGGATAAAGCAATAAACCCCCTGTAGCTCCACTTCAGCTGAGACCACAGAACCCGGTCCTGGAGGCGTCTCAGTCTCCAGCTGTTGCACTGGAACTATCCTTCAACTTACGTTATGCCCTGGTATCCTCCGAGTTGGTATGGCCACTGCGTTTGCTCAGGTGAAAGAGGGCAGTTGTGCCACTAAGAGGAATAACCAGGAAAAATTTGCTGTGTTTGTCGGTTTGCCTTTACTTAAAGTTCCATTGAGTTACTTGAGCAATTGATTCTTCAGAGAAGATATGTAAATTACACACACACACACACACACACACACACACACACACGAATCTTTTGAAAAATAAGATTTAGGGAATATTGGAATGGGACTAAAGAAGGTTAACACGGTATTAGATGTTTTAAAGATAAAACTTTAGCACATATGTTAATAACTTTCTTCTCTAATTTTCTCAAGGTTTTATGACGTACCTAGTGGAGCCTTTGTTTACGGAATGGGCCAGGTTTTCCAATACAAGACTCTCCCAGACGATGCTCGGGCATGTGGGGCTGAATAAGGCCAGCTGGAAGGGACTGCAGAGAGAACAGCCCCGCAGTCAGGACGCTGATGCTGCATTTGAACTGAACTCACAGCTATTACCTCAGGAAAATCGGTTATCGTAACCCCCAGAACTAGTGGGACAAACTGCCTCCTGGAGGTTTTTAGAAATGTGAAATGGGGTTTTGAGGTGAGAGAACTTACTCTTGACTGCCAAGGTTTCCAAGTGAATGATGCCAGCCAGCATTATTTTTTCCAAGATTTCCTCTATTGGATCATTTGAACCCACTTTTTAATTATAAGACCCGAACATATAGCAATATGCGCTTGGCTTTTGTGCGAAACCTTGAATGTGCAAAGCCCAGCAGGAGAGAACCTGAAAGGAGGAACAAAGCAAGTTGTGAGGTGTGCCACGTGTTTTTCAAAGCATCTGTTCTTCAGACCGTGAAACTTGAACTGAATCTTTCAGCAGCAATCTCCTGGAATTTAACCAGTCTCATGCAACAATGTGTATCTTGTACCTTCCACTAAGTTCTCTTTGAGAAAACGGAAATGTGAAGTGCCCAGCCTCTGCTGCCTCTGGCAAGACTCAATGTTTACAAACCAACTCTGAAAATACTGGTTCTAAATTGCCTTGGAGCATGATTGTGAAGGAACCACTAAAAAAATTTAAAGATCAAACCTTAGACTGCAGCTCTTTCCCCCTGGTTTGCCTTTTTTCTTCTTTGGATGCCACCAAAGCCTCCCACTTGCTATAATTTTATTTTGTGCACTGGAAACAGCATTTATGATAGAGTACCGCCAAGCTTTCACTCCAGTGCTGTTTGGCAATGCAATTCTTTTTTTTAACTATTAGTTTTTAATTTGGGGCGGGAGGGGAAGACACCAATGTCCTAGCTGTATTATGATTCTGCAGTGAAGACATTGCATGTTGTTTTCACTACTGTACACTTGACCTGCACATGCAAGAAAAAAGGTGGAATGTTTAAAACACCATAATCAGCTCAGGGTATTTGCCAATCTGAAATAAAGTGGGATGGGGAAGTGTGTCCTTCAGATCAAGGGTACTAAAGTCCCTTTCACTGCAGTGAGTGAGAGGTATGTTGCGTGTGAATGTATGGATGTGTGTTTGAGTGCATGTTTGTGCATGTATGACTGTGCATGTGTTATGTTTATCCATGTGGGAAATGATTTGAAATGTAAGCTTTTATTTATTATTTTAGAATGTGACATAATGAGCAGCCACATTTGGGGGAGGGAAAGGTAGGTAAGCTGTAACAGATTGCTCCAGTTGCCTTAAACTATGCACAAAGCTAAGTGACCAAACTTCTTGTTTTGATTTGAAAAAAGTGCATTGTTTTCTTGTCCCTCCCTTTGATGAAACGTTACCCTTTGATGGGCCTTTTGATGTGAACAGATGTTTTCTAGGACAAAATACAAGGACTAATTTTAAACTTAAAACATTCCACTTTTGTAATTTGTTTTAAATTGTTTTATGTATAGTAAGCACAACTGTAATCTAGTTTTAAGAGAAACCGGTGCTTTCTTTTAGTTCATTTGTATTTCCCTTGTTACTGTAAAAGACTGTTTATTAATTATGTTTACAGTTTGTTGCAACAGCCATTTTCTTGGGAGAAAGCTTGAGTGTAAAGCCATTTGTAAAAGGCTTTGCCATACTCATTTTAATATGTGCCTGTTGCTGTTAACTTTTGATGAATAAAAACCTATCTTTTCACATTTTTATCTTTGATATTTACGGTATAACTCAATCCTTTGGAAATCACGATGCTAAATTACAAGGAAATCAAAGTTAGCTTCTTGGCTCCTGCATTCACGCATCAGATGTTTGTTCAGTCTGAGCTTATCCACTATTGTCTGCACCTTAGGAATGAGCACATAGCCCACGCTGAGCCCTGGTGCAGGTTTGCTCAGAGTCTTGACTAATCCAGGGTACAGGCCAGCTTGGAGCCAGGCCTTCTGCCTCCATAGCCTTTTGTTCCCACAGCTGGGAACAGACATCAGCAACTCTTGCAAGTACTAAAATACTAGCTGTGTTTATTTCTATCACTGACCTTTTTAAAATAATAACAAATGGCTGCTTCTACTTGATTGATATCAGTGTCAAGAAAGGTACCACCGTACCTCTCCTGTATCTTCCCAGATCCAATTCAGTAGAAGGGATATAGTGTAAAATTTTAAGTCAGACATTACTGTCATTATTTGTATAGAAGAGTGATGTCCAATAGAAATATAATGCAAGCCACATAAGTAATTTTCAATTTTCTGATAGCCACATAAAAAGGAAAAAGATGGAATTAATTTTATTTATTGTAATATATCCAAATATTTTATCATTTCAGCATGTAGTCATTATAAAAAACAATTATCAAAGAGATGTTTTACATCCTTTTTTTTTTTTTTGGTACCGAGTCTTTGAAATCCAGTGTGAATTTTACACTTACAGCACATCTCAATTCAGACTAGCCATATTTCAGGTGCCCACTATTCACGTGGCTAGTGGCTACCGTATTGGACAGTGTGGATATAGAGGTCTACGGGCAGTAGAGTGTTACCTGGGGAAGGTCAACTGGCCTCTCATATGCGGTGGCACCACCTTGGCAAATCTGATGTACCCAGAGAGTCTGATAAGGATCCGTAAAAGCTCACAGACCCGGTTTGTCAGCATATAGAGAGTGGAATCATCTCATGGCAAACTCACATTAACCAAGCTCACAGTAACTGATTTTTTAAAAAAAATAGTGTCAATATTTTCATTTACAATAAGAAATATAACTATCCATTATTCTCTCCCTTTAGGCAAATCTTCCTGGGAAGCCAAATTATGATCAGCTGGTTACTTGGTGAGCACGGATTCTGAGCAAGGGAAGCCAAGTTGCCTCATGCATCCATCTCCCTATCGGGATATACCTGCCGATAATCATGTTTGTGGACCAGGGTACCCTCTTCCCCTGGAAGGTGCTAGAGATTCTCTGCCAGCAGTTGCTTCTCCACATCAGCTTCTGATTGGCACATCCATTAGATCTGCCATTACCTTCGCCCTTGTTTCCACTGAGCCCACCTAGGCTCCGTTCTCCCTGTGTATGATTGCTTACTTCTGCTCCGACCCATTGTCTGTCTGATAGTTTAATGCTCAAAGGATTATCTTATTTATACATTCTCAGGGGAACACCTGGGTATTGCTCTCATTTCCTGCCTTCACATACATTAATAATAAACCCATTAAAAATCTGTTTTGTTATGTATATGTGGGACTCTCTTTTTAGCCCTACTTCTTAATATGACCTATATTCCTTGAATATTTATTTCTCTAGAAAAATTTGAGGAAACAGTTAAATATTTAGAAGACATTTTTTAAAAAGTAAATATTACAGAATAGAATGCAAAATTGACATGAATTTTCAAGATAAAACGAGAGACTTCAAAGAATTGTTGAGCATGCAGCAGCCCTATTTAGGTCTCTGCTCTAGGGGTAAACGTCCTTGGAGAGAAAATTTTGACAGGCCCTAACTTAAAAAAAGAAAAAATATTGGTTCCTGGTCAACATTTGTACTCACTGTAAACGTGATGGTTTGTAATGATCCTCTTTGTATAAAATAAGTAAAAATTACATTTTATGTCCTTTGCAAACCTGGGAAATCTATTTGTACCTGAGGTACAGGTTAGAGGTGCTAGTAATTTCATGAAGATTCCAAAAACAGTCTCTTTTTCCAAAATGCTTTCTTGGTTTTTATTGAGCTTTCTAATTTCTTAAAACTTTTAATCAGAGGTTTCCAATGTTTTCAAGCATGTATATTTTAATGAATAATGTTTAAATCCCCTCCCAATCAGCATTTCCTGATTGTGGAAATACACAGTGACCAATAGCTAATATGAATTCACTGTTGCTTTTAAAGAAATGTGCATATTAATCACCATAGCATCAGCATACATTTGAAGCATATAGTAATACAGGTATGTGCAGGACTCAGTCTGCAGTGTTCCTTGCTAAAGACCTGCGGATGACTGTGTCATCTGGAAGGCCCCCAGGGGTCCATGGACTACAGGTGGGCCCACCACTACTTGGGGGTAAGCTGATGGCCAGCACATAGCAGATCTCCATCTTCCTGTGCCCAGCAGAGGGTTTATGTCAATTGGGTCGTCGTCAATAAACATTTGTTGAAAAAATTAATTTGGAATTGATATGTCCCCTTTATGGCTATCAATACATCACTAAAAGAAATTATATCGAAACCTGTCCATGTTGAAGTATGTGGTAGTGATATCTGAGTCCCTGTTGTGTGCAGAGCATGGCACTGGATGTAATAAAAAGGGTATTAAATGGCATATGTTTGAGTAACAGAACAATGTGTGCAACGTGTTTGTCATATAGCACGGCAGGTTTCCGTATTGTACAAAATGAGTAATATGTTGGGTGGCTGTTTAGGAGAATGAATGGTTTAGTTAATGATGAAAATAACACCATTTCTAGGTTTTTTTTTTTATTATTAACATCTATGAATGGTAGAAATCATTTAGCCTTAGAATTTGAGTCTAAAATATAGTTTTAAATGTTCAATATGATACTTTTACTAAAATACTAAATTTTATCAATTGTATTTTTTAGTTTTATACCTAGATTTTCTAAGTTGTCCTGAAATCCATCTTAAAGTCTGGTAGGATGGCAGGGGAGAGAAAGCTCCTTATTTTTAATATTAGATTTCTTACTGGCTATAATTTAAAACTGAGGCACTGAGACTTAATTGACTTACTGAATCTTTCCACTGGTCCCATCATAGTCTTTAAGAAATTCTGTCTTATACTACAACGCTTATTTTTAAGCTACAATTTATGAGATTTTTCTGACCATAGATTTGAAGTATTTCTTTTGTTGAGCCATGTCCTATAAAGAATCAGGAGACTAATGATTTCCCAAGTTCCTTTCTTAGCTGAAATTAGGTTTTAAAAATTTATCTAAAGATAAGCTTTTTGAAGGAAATAATACAAAGGAATATACTTGTCTTAGTTCGCTCAAGCTGTTACAACAAAGTACTATAAACTGGGGGACTTATAAGCAACAGATATTTACTCCTCACAGTTTTGGAGGCTGGGAGTCTGCGATCAGGGAGCCAGCGTGGTCCAGTTCTGGTGGGCATTGTCTTTACAGCTTGACAGACCTGGGTTTGGGTCCTTGGGCAAGTGACCTGATCTTCTGAGTGGCCTCCTAACCTGTAAAATGTCTACCTCTCAGAGTAAAACTGTGTACTGGCACATATTAAATGCTGAATGAAGCATTGCTGTGAGTATTCTCCCTAATTCATTTTCTCATAATCCCTGCTTTATATAAACTCATGGATACAGTTGTACCTCCCAACATCTTTATTTGAGCTCCTGCTAACTGCCTCACTCTGTGGAGGTTTCCAATCCAAATTCCTGGGGGAGAATCTGATTTGAACAGCTCACCAAGGCTGTGTCCTTGGTCACAGAGCAGTGTGTGCATTGCCAGGTGTTCTCTTGCAGAAGGGAAGGCAGGGGTTAAGGAGGGTCTGGAGAGCCCAACCCGAGATCACTGCCCTACATACTTCTCACTTCTCTACCCTTGTTGCTAACACCAGAATTTCAGAATGACTTCCAAACCATACTCTAGTCCTCATCCTTTTTCACCCTTAAAACATGCAGTTTCCACAGCATAGTTCTCTGAGAATACGCCTTCTTTCACCCTTTGTTAAAAAGCTTATCAGGCCAATGAAGAGGGATGGCCACCAGGCAACATTAACAGAGGGCTTTTTGTACCTTTGGTAAAAACCCTGTTGGGAAGAGTCTGGCCTTTTCCCCAAATTAAGGTTTTTCCACCTGGAAAGAAAGAAATTATGAAGGACTTCCCTATGGTAGTTGTTTGGTGTGGAATGGGAGGCGCTATTTGGGTTATCTTAACATTTACCTGCCTGAAAATATCTAAATTTTACCCTTATGGAAGCCCTCTGTGAGCTTAACAAGGGGCTGGAGAATCTACCAGAGAAGAAGAGTTTGAGAAGTCCCAGGTGTAGGAACATTAAGGCTTCTGGCACATATGAAGTGGACTAAGGATAGTAGTCTCAGAGGGAAATGTGCATGAGTTCTGGATCCTTATCCTTGGTTATGCTATTTTTATTGTCCCGTCTGTCCTCCAGAAAGAGCACTAAGACCAATGAAGAACTAGCCTACTTACAAGGCTTTCAAAGAAAGTCTAAGAAGAATCCTAATTGAAATAGGTTCAATAGGGTGGCTCAGAGAATGATAAATCTCTAAGATGAGAAGAGGAAAGAAGACATAGGAACAGGACTCTAGGAATGGATGGAAGCTCATGAGAAATACTGTATTATATTGGGTATAACAATGACAATGTCTTAAACAGTGTCTTAAAACCAAGTGTCTCATCCTGCCTGGCAATCCCAGAGCTGACTTTGTTGGATGAACTGAAAATTTAAACATCTATCTGCCAGATATTATCCCACAGAGAGAACTTCTATTTTTGGAGAACTTCCCAGGACGACGGTTTTTCCAAAGCATTTGTTTCTGCTAGTTATTACCTCGTGACTTCTTCTTCATCACAAGACACAGATTCATAGGAATTCTTAATACAGCAGTAGGATAAGAGTCTTTTTATTATTATTGTTATTATTTTTGGAATTCTCTGGCTAAGGATAAGAGTCTTATGCAGAAGGGCCTATGACTGAGGAAACAACCAGAACTACAGACTGCACGTCCTACCCTCCCATCCCAAGCCTGCACAAGCAAGTGCATAGGATGACGCCTTTTACAGGTTCCAGGGACCACATGTTCTAGGAGAAATCGTACTACTGGAAACTACAGAGACTTTTTGTAAAATAATGCAACACTAAAAATGCTAACTTATTTAACAAGATCACATAAAACTCTAAGTCCAGTGCTCTCTGACTCTCATATTCTCTCTCTCTCTATATATATATGTAAAACATAAAATGAGGGTCTCTGGGTTAGTCGAAATTCATAGAAGACAAAACATACCAAATTACCAACCTTTCTGAGCCTCGGCTATGAAATGTAGAGTTTAACGTTTTTTTTAGATCTAGTACTTTAGGTATTGCGATGGGTGAGGTATTGCGATGGGTGAGAGAACCAGAAACTGAGGTGGGCATGAGAGAAGATGGGAAAACAGATTTCTCCAGCTCAGAAGTGGATTATGGGTTTGAGAATCCTGAGACAACTTGGATACCTTATGCTTGCCCTCCTGTTTTAATGCTGAGATCCCTTTAAGAGAAAAAGTGAATGAGAGATGATGTAACTTATTTTAAGGAATATATTTCCTCCTGAAAAAATGCAGAAGGAAATTATTCTGAAAAGCTACATGTGCAATATAAAAGAATCTTAACCTATTGTAAAGAAAAATATATATATTTATAGGCACTATGGTCCAGGGAAAGTAAAACAGTTTGCTTTATTTTAAAATAGTAACTTTTAAATATTGGAGAACTGGCCAAAATTCAATACTGATACAAATACAAATTTCTTAGGAGGTCAAAATATGTGTCAGGCAAATTTTCCGAATTTCTTTAAAGACAGAATTTTGAACCATATAAAACAATTAGAAACAATGAACATCAACATGTATAAAATAAGCCACAGTTCAAATTTAAGCTGAATAACCAGCCATCTAATTATCTCAAATAATTTTTGTGAATATGTAGGAGAACAATGCACATATTTTCAATAACTTAAAAGTGAATGTCGATCTACTCTTCCCATCTCTTAATTCTTCCACGAAGTATAACTTTTTAAATTAGATTTACATAAAAAATCCAAATATTTACTCATGGTAAGATATTCTAGCATTAACTATACTGAGTCTATCAGAAATAGAAAAATCATGAAGATTTGTCATGCATTTAAAAAATGATCACTTATAGCAAGTTCTCAGAAGACCTAGATAAGAAAGGCAGTTCTCCACTTTCTAATAACACCTATGGTTTATACCGCATAATATAATTCAACAGAACAGCATTTTCACCAATGATAAACAACTTATAGGAAATTCATTCGCCTATTCAATGTTTCATTATAAAGTTAATATTTTGACCAATATTAAAAATTTTAGAACTCTATTATGCTGACATTTTCAAAAGTATTAACTTAGCAACAAGTCATCTTTTTGATGCCATTTATTAAGCTGAAAGGAAAGAAGATGGTACATTCTCGGTTTTACTTAAAAAGGGATTTAATCCAATAATTAATTCGTCACTACTTGAAAACTATACTTTCTTCCTCAGCAATGGATGGCAATGAGGTGAAAGCAGCTTTCCTGGTCCTCAACTTGCCTTTAATAGAAGCATTACAGAATTTCAGCAGTGAACATTACCTGTTTCCTATTCAAACCCCAGCTCCAAGAAAATGTGAGAGAGAATCTAAGATGTGAGTTCTGTTCAAGGCATGAAGATTCCAATCTCAAATATTTCACTCCAACAACTTACGTTATACCAGCTGTTCCATCGCTGAATACTAAATGATCATGGAAAACAAATGAAGATAACAGTACCCTCATTGCCATTATTCTCTAATTTTTACATGAACTGTTTTATACCCAAATATATGTATATAAAACATTTGTACAGATAAATTAGTGTTAAGAATTAAAAATGTGCAGTAACATCCACAAATGTCCTTTCTATGTTCTGAAATCAATACAACTGTTTAAGACTGGAAACCTGAACCCCGCAGGATACACATTAAAAACATGTCAGAATACACATGTTGTGGAACTGACCATCTCATACAAGCAAAACCACACTTACAGTGCTTTCGTTATTGCTTAATCCTATAATTAGGCTAAAAAGGAGACCACTGAATACTACAGTCAAGAGTTTACTAAATAGTGTTGATTTCTACTAGCCAAACAGCCTTCTATAAACCAACAGCAGAACCAGGATAGTCTTTCTCAGCTCATTGTCTATTAGGAGTTTGATACATTTTCAATTAAAGTCTTCATTTTTCCTGTAGACTTCAACATGTGTGGCCCGAACTAGGAAAAAAAAAAAGTATAAATAAAGATACTGGTTCATGTAACAGTAATGATATATCCCCCTCCCCGCAATGGATCAGAGGGTTGAGTATGTTCTGCAGTTAAAACCAAGCAGCTACTGGTAATAATACAACATTTATGACTTGATAGTTTGTTATAAACACAGGACACATCAACAGAATGAAAGGTAAAGAGGTAGCCAAATTGCTTCCTAGAAAACCACAATCATCTTGGCAATACCCTAGTTTTGTACAATTTTACTTCGCTAATTAAAGGGAGAAATACAAAGTTTCCAATGTCTAAAGAGTTTCAAAGGTGCTAGAATTTCTAAGGTTATCTGCCTCTCTGGAAATACAAGCACATATCCCCCAAGATAGTGATGTCAATAAAGGAAATGTATAAATTAGTATTTGAGGGCTTCTATGAAATCTACTCAATCTCCATCTATGACATGATACACGTCCTCCAAGGCTGACATCAAATACACCCTCTTCACAAGACTCACAAGGTGTCCTCAGAGAAAATGATCTTGCTTTACTTTGAAGTTCTATATCACAAAATATACGTTGTCCGAAGATACAAATTTTATTATATTGAATTTTACTTCATTATGGTAAATAAAAATATAACCCTGCATGGGAAATTTAACACTGAAGATTGCTAAGGGGTTAGCACTGAAGATTGTTCAGGGGTTAATTTTTACTTTTGCTCTCTTCTTTATGCTCTTCTACAAGTTTCAAACTTCCGAATGAGTAACTATTAGTTTTATAGTTAGACAAATAAAATTATACATGCTGAACAACGTCATCCTTTTTCCAGCTAGCTGCAATCTACTTGTAGGTAGGGACTAACTCCTCTACCTTATCCCTTTAAGTCTTACAGAGGACACAGCTGAATGACTTGCAAAACACAGGTGATCAGCAATGGGGTGAATTCCCACGTAACAGGAAAAAAACCTGGGCTAACACTCACCAACAGTGTCTCTGAGGTGGCCTCCGATTCAGACTTTGGAACTCCTTTGTCAGCTTCATCTTGGTTATCATTTCGATACCGATAAGCAAATTTCTTTTTCAGAGCCTCTGCTATGAGGGCAGCAGGGTCAGTAGCATCCACCGGCTTGGGCTTTACATCTTGCTCTGACCTTAGAGAAGCGAACAGAAAACGGGGACAGGTCAATACGCCGCCTTTCGCCTAACAGCACTCCCCCACCAGCATCATAATGACTCCGTAAAGACACTGATAAAGACTGCTGGCAGTGAGAGATTTAAGGCTCAATAAAAAAAGCACGTAAGAGTCCAATAAAGAGCCACTTAACGTATCTCCAAAACACTGACTATGGGCTCCTTGCAAGCAATTAGGGTTCCATCCTCCATGCACGTTTAGTGACTACCCTACGGAGCACACAGCATAACTTTATTGAATAAATGACTGAGCAATCCCAATAAAGACCAAATGAAAGGACTGATATTTAAATGAAATGGGGCTAGGAGAGGTGGCTCACTCCTGCAATCCCAGCATTTTGGGAGGCTGAGGTGGGAGGATCACTTGAAGCCAGGAGTTCAAGACCAGTTTGGGCAACATAGTGAGACCCATCTCCACAAAAAAAGAAAAAAATTAGCTGGGTGGTGGCACACCTGTAGTCCCAGCTACTCAGGAGGCTGAGATGGGAGGATTTCTCAAGCCCAGGAGTTCAAGGCTGCAGTGAGCTATGCTTGCACCACTGCCCTCCAGCCTGGGCCACAGAGGAAGACCCCATCTCTAAATACATACATACATACGAACATGAATGAATGAATTAGGAAAACCAAAAACATCACCTGGAAATTATTTTGCTAATCTCTTAGCTACTGTGTATAGGAGCTACTGGGACTCATTTTTTTAAAACTACAAACTAATCAAATTAGTCATGATATAAAACAAAATTGCTCAAGAAGCCTAGTACTTTTGCTTCACAAGACATACAAATGGGGAAGTAAGAAAGAAGGTAAATACATCCTCACCTCTTTACTGACCGAAGTTTTACACTGTTCATATCTTTAAGGATCTCTAGCATATTTGGCATGTCAGGTTTCTTTGGATTGTTCTTCACCAAAGTCTCCCCAGCATTGGCTCTTTTGTGTCTTCGCTCCTTAATCAGATCAATAGCGGATAGGCTTTGGTGGAGCCCTGGTGGAGGCAGAGGAGGGGGAGGGGGAGGTGGCGGTGGAGCGGGTGGCGGCGTGATAGCAGATGTGGTAGAATCTAAGTCACCTACAGAAATAAGGAACAATAAACTTAACCCTGCTGGTATTAGGCAAAGGAAATATCAGTTATCAAAAGTAAAATTATGTTAAGGATTTTTGTATCCCCAAAAACAATATCCTTAAAAAGAATCTCAGTGATGTAAGGAGAGAGGTAGTTTCAATGACTTTGTGAGAAATGCCTGACTCTCAGCCACTGTATCAGTCAATCTAAAAACTCTCCAGATGGAAAAGTTCCATTTAACTTAACAGGGGTGTTTCTGTGATATCGAATGTTCAAGTTGACTGTGGCACAGTTTGAAATCACTTTTAGCAGAAACACAAGTAGGCTGTACTGCATAAACACCTCTATCTTCAATACATACAGTTTGACAATTTAGTGCTTTTATAACTATTTGAAAAAACTGAAAAATTTGTAATTCATTTTAAGTATATTTTCACATAAGACTTATTAAACATTAAAAGACTGCATTGATTAAGAACGTGTTTGGAAGAAAAGTTTTAGACTTACTGTTGAATAAACTTGTGGAAGAACAAAAGAAAAAAAGTGTTATAATTCATTTCTGAAACAAAAAGTAACTCAGATGAGAGTTTAAAAGGCTATAAAATGAGGACCTAAAATTCATCTTTCTGCACAATTGGAGGTTAGAGAGTTGTTCATTGGGTGAATCGTATCGGTTGAGGTGGGAGGAGGACTGATATAAAAATTTTACTCAAAAGATCCACATTCTAGGCTGGGTGCGGTGGCTCACGCCTGTAATCCTAGCTCTCTGGGAGGCCGAGGCGGGCGGATCATTCTGAGCTCAGGAGTTCGAAACCAGCCTGAGCAAGAGCGAGACCCCGTCTCTACTAAAATTAGAAAGAAATCAATTGGACAACTAAAAATATATAGAAAAAATTAGCCGGGCATGGTGGTGCATGCCTGTAGTCCCAGCTACTCGGGAGGCTGAGGCAGGAGGATTGCTTGAGCCCAGGAGTTTGAGGTTGCTGTGAGCTAGGCTGACGCCATGGCACTCACTCTAGCCCGGGCAACATAGTGAGACTCTGTCTCAAAAAAAAAAAAAAAAAGATTCACATTCTAAATAGACCATCTAAATATAACTCCAAAATTATCTATTTACTGAAGTTTTCCTAGTCTGCCAGAAGAGGGGGGTAAAGCAAAAGAAAAAAGCAATTTGAAGTTAAGAGAAGGCAGGACTTGAAATTTTTTAAAAGTGACGTGCGTAAGCAAAGGCCAGCACCCAGCGCCCTGAGTGCCTTCAGCCCTGGCCGTCTCTGCCCTGCCCAGTTCAGATGAGGTTCCCGTATTGGATTATGTTGAAATCCAGAAGCACAGGCGAAGTGGCTCAGAGGCAGGTCAACTGTCCTTACTCTTATCCGACAGAGCTGGTTAACAATGAGTCTAGCCAGGACTCAGGAATAAAAACAGAAAAACAACCACTATTTGCCAACAGGTTAGTGGGCTAGGATTTCAAGGCTATGGTTTCCTCCCCAATATGAAGATACCACACTAATAAAAGCTACAGTATTTGACCAGAAGACCTAAATTCAATTTCTGTTCTGCGCAACAGGAACAACTATTAAGTAGCTGCGTATGCTAAAGCAGCTACTCTCATTTATTCTCACAGTAACACTAACATAGTGTAAAACTATCCCCGTTTTAGAGCAGGAAAGGGAGGTGAAAGGTCAAGTGCTGGCCTCAGGACACAAAGGTAAACACCACCGAGCCCCCCATGACCACAGAAATCCAGGCTCCTTTCATGGAGGAGACAGAAACCCATGGACACAGACAACTAAGTTTCCCAAAAGAAAGGAAAGGATTCACAACGGTAGCAATTCAACTGCACGAATTTCAGTGTATTCAAAAGATATGTCCTAGTCATCCTCTCTGATACCATCAAGGTTTTTCAAAAGAAAAACACCATCTAAGCTTGACTAGGTCCTGTACTGGACATGCAAAAAGGAAGGACTGACCCTTGGCTTTTTTCAGCAAACCCAAAGGCTGTTACCTACTAATGAATTTTAAAATAAGTGGCATTCTCCTAATTTCCAGTCTGCCAGTTAAAACAAACAAATGTAGGACTTACAGACCTGCAATGAGATTTTGCTGTTCTTGCAGGGTCACAATTTTGGCAATCTGAGCTCTAAGAGCAGCAAGTTCGTTTTCAAGAGCACAGATCTTCTGCAATGCTTCCTCATTCGCCAGCGCTGGAGTCTTCAGGGGAGGCTCTTCCTGAGACAAGTCTGGTAAGGAAATCTGCCTTCTCGGGGGCTTCGCAAACAAAGGAAAGTCATCCTGAAGAGGTGTCCTTGACCTGACCTCTGTCCTGCAAGAAAGACATAAGGTTGGCTGTCACAGGCTTTGTAAGGAGATATGAAAAATTATCATTACCATTAATAAAGTATCAGAGCGTAACACTCAACAACCACTTTTCAGGCCGATCTTACATAAATCCCCTCCTGTTTAAGTGTTAAAACATCAATGCACCTGTCAACCTTATATAGCTACAAACTACATCTGAGGTTCTTGTTGCCATCCTTCTTAACCTTAATCTCTATATAATATGCATAAACCAACACTATCAGGAGGCAGCACAGATTCTAGCAAAGATTGTGCTTATTCATGTTGAATCTTTTTGGTTTCTTCTGAGAAGAAACTTTTAAATGCTCTTCGAAATGGTAAACTAATTACTAGTTATATTTGACTACAAAATCAAATCAATGATCCATTAGTCCTTCCCCAGGGTCTTGGCTTCTGCATATCAATGTCCGTGTTTTCCATGTACGATAGAAAGATCAAATTATAAGACATATTGTGACAATGTAGGCCAAATACAGCATCGGAAACTGAAAAGGAGAAAAAGAAACCATTATAATTGAACTCATGCAGTAACTACATAAATAGTCTCATTCTCATTTGGGTATAAATTGTTTTTTTTTTAACGTGGGGTGCCTGTGACCTCCAAATGGAGGAAGTCTTTTGGGGTTGAGAATAAAATTCAGATTTCTTTTCAACTGTCAATTTATATACTTATCTATTTGCTCATATTTTCTACAATTAAGTTTTCCCAGCCTGCATCCCACCTTTAAGCCCTTTCCTATCTGAAATTCTTTCCTTTCAAAAAATAGTCCTAGTCTCACTTTTCCCTTACGGGCTCAGAAAAGTCCTGCATACTGTCTTTTGACCTTATAGTCATTTAGAACTCTATAACACCAAAATAATTCTTCATGTAAGTACCGGAAGTAATTGTATTCATAGCTCTCAGCTCTAGATGATTCTACCTTGGGAGTAGGAAACCCAACGCCCTAATGCTATATCTCTTGGGAAAAGCCTCCAGTGTTTGAAAGTTACTAAAAAAGACCGGAAGCTAACACCAAATGTAACCTCTGTTGTCAGAGGTGGGCCTGGGGGCTTCCCTCTTCCTCACCACATTTATCTAAGCCCCATGAGGAAGATACTATTATTTTACTGCTGAGGACACAGCTCAATATCACATAGCTAGTGTGTGGAAAAGCCAACATTGGAGTTGAGATTTATGCAGTTTTTTCCTGCTAGCAATGTTGCTTTCCTTCTATGTAAGATGACAGAAGTGTTATTTAACCCTAATTCAAATACTTACAGTTTTTGGAGATAAGGATATACTGTAAGGAAAAAATCTGCCCATTTCTGGTCAAAGACTTTAGCCACATTAGTTTAACATTACTTTGCAACACTGCAATGGTGAACCATTTTCACTTCTTTGGCATACTCCAAATTGCACAGGAAAAGAATGAAAGAAGGCCTTGACTTGGAGTTTTAAAAACGAGAAAAGAGCCCATAACCGACTTGTTTCTCCTTGCTCTCAATCAACATTAACAAATTGTGCCCAACTGTTTTTGTACTCACAGAGTTTTAAAAATCTGCTGATTATTCCAGGTAATTGATGATATGTACCTCTCATAAAATTCTGCTTACACAACTGAAGGAGCCATGGCCCACAACTGAAGAATCTCTGTAACTGGCCCTGCCAAAGGGCCACACTAAAAGGAAATCTGAGTAACTCTCAGTCAGGCTGTGGATAAGATGCTAGGCGAGGCTCACTCTAGTGAACAGTGTGCACTGGGACAGAGATTGCCAGTTGCTTACTCCAACAAACACATTCCCCTTCTCCTTAGTAAACATTACCACCAAAAAAAGAAGAGAAAGAAAGAAAGAAGCCCTTATTTCAGGGCAGCAATGTGCCCGGCTAAAGGATTACACTTTCCAGTTTCCCTTGCAGTTACATGGGGACATGTGACTGAGTTTGGCTACCGAGACTGTAGGCGGAATGTTGATGAGCCATCTAGGAGGGCCACTTAAAGAGAGGTGACTCCATGGAAAAATCCCTTCGTCTTTAGTCTCAGCTGCCTTTCCTCATGCTGAGAGTCTTGAGTGCAAGGTGATGTCCCAGAGTCACAGAGGGACAGAAGCTAATCTTGATACAAAGCCAATGCCGTGGATGGCAGAGAGCCTGGCTGGGGCCCTGATGACACTGTAGAGCCACTATCAGATCAAGCCCACCCACCCTTAGGATGTCTTTCATTTGAGAGAGAAACAAATGACCTTCAGAGAAAAATAAACTTCCATCTTGTTTAAGCCATCATTCTTTTGGGCTTCTCTGTTATATACAGTCAAACTTAATCGTAACTATTAGTACATTCGACAACATTAAACTCTATTTTAATTTTCCTTTAGCTGGATATTGATATTTTATTTTTGCCTGAGAGCTGTGATAATTGTTCATTCTATCTTGCTTTTTGAATAGGGGAATCCTTGGGCTTGTAGCTTTTGGTATTATGTATTCAGGTATGTATTCACGTATTTTTCTTCATATCTGATTTTGTTTACACATTAATTACCAAACATAGAGAATGTTTGCAAATTGTTTTTTGCCTATAACAATTTTAAACAAAAAGATTTGAAGAGTAAATGTTCTTGCTCTTACCTAGCAACTATACTACCAACTTTGTTTTATTTGGAATACTTGTGGAGTAGGGAAATATGTAGCTTGCAAAGCTTCGATTACCATTTATTTTCTTAGCCCTACAATCAGAAGAAACAAGTGATGTAATTTTTTTAAAAAGCTCATGAAAATTAAACAAAGGTAAAAACTTCTGTAACAGTACCAGTGTCTGGTCAAATATTTAATATTTAAAGATTATATGCTATGAGTTATAGATTTGATGTGTGTGCTCTAATCAACTTACAATAAAGAAAATAATTTTAATAAGCCATTAAAATTTTGAAAAAAAAAAATTACCGTGGCTCTTTGTCGGCTAAATTCTGATTTCTACCCACCCTTTACAGAGCAGTTCAAATAACTTTATTACATAGCTCTGTACAATAAATACATTAAGTTACGAGTAGATAGAAATTAGTCAACCTAGTAAATGAAGCTTTGAGGGGGTAGGGGATACTTACGTAGTTCAATTACATCTAATATCGATCTAGTATTATATAAAATATTATTTAATATTCTTCTTCATATGTATTCTTGGTAATTTTTAAAAACAAAACTGAAAAATAATGATTGTATTTAAAAAGACTACTTTTGGCCAGGTGCAGCTGCTCACGCCCGTAATTCCAGCACTCTGGAAGGCTGAGGCAGGATTGCTTGAGCCCAGGAGTTCAAAGTTACAGTGAGCTGTGATCGTACCATTGCACTCTAGCTTGGGTGAAAGAAGGAGATCCTGTCTCTAATAATAACAATACTAATACTAATACTAATAATAGGAAAAAAACTTCTTGAAAAAGCCAGAAGAATTCCTGGTAGGTAGGATAGTGAGAGCAGTACAATTCTAGTCTCAAAAACAGATCTAGGCAAAGTATAGGATTCTCAAATAAATGTACAATTCAAGTAGCATACTTGCTCAAAACCACAGTGAAGAAAAAAGGAAGAGTAGTAGTAACAGAGGGTGAGTTTAGAGGAAAAAAGCGATCAGAAGCAGAGTGTTCTCAGGACAGAGGACCGGGGCCACCTCCATAGGATGAGTGGCATCTAGAAGTGACAACCAACGGAAGCAGAACTGAAAAAAGAAGAGGGAACACAGAATCTGCAGATAAAGAGACATTTCTACCCCTACTGTCTTCTCATTTCCATGAAAGCAGAATTTTGCTATGTTTACCAAAACCTACCTCAAAGAATGAATAGATTCGTATCTAGGGAAGGAAATGAGGATGATGCTTTGCTTTCATATTATGTATAAGTGCAGAGAATTCATGAAGCTTATATGCAGAAAATAAATTTTGGATACCAGAACCTTTGGTATTCATAAACAAAAAATTATGTTATAACACTGTTTTATTTAAAAGCTAGTGGTCACTTTAGGGGTCACTTCCCCATCTAAAATTCTCTTAGACGTTATAGGATCCCAAAGTAGTAAATGCTTACAAGTGTGTTTTAAAATGTTATCATTCAAGTTAAGTCGATCTTCAAATTCCATGAACATTTACTCTTCAATAATCTTTTTCCAGAATTGGAACAAAATAATATGATACACTGAATTAAGATATCAATTGCAAGGCATATTTGAATGGCTTACTTTCTATCTTCTGTTTTTTTCCCCCTCTCCCAGAGACAGGGTGTTGCTCTGTCACCCAGGCTGGAGTACAGTGGCACCATCATAGCTCACTGTACCCCCAAATTCCTGGGCTCAAGTGATCCTCTTGCTTCAGCCTTCCAAGTAGCTGGGCCTACAGGTGCATGCCACCACACCCAGCTAATTTTTTTTTTTTTTTGTGTGTAGAGATGAGGGTCTCTCTATGTTGCCCAGGCTGGTGTCAAACTCCTGGGCTCAAGGGCTCTTTCTGCCTCAGCCTCCTAAAGTGCTGCAATTACAGATGTGAGCCACTGGGCACCGCTGCTTATTTTCTTTAAGATATCTTCTAGTCAAAATAAACTGCAAGAGAAAATTAATGAATATTGAGCAGAAACTAGTGCTTAAAAAGGATTAAGTTTCTAAATTTTCCCATAACTCCTCAGGTGAATTTTATCTTTTTGGTTTTCTTTTTATTTATTAAAAATTAAGGACAAATTACTCATTCATCTTGAACACCAGTGTGCCAAGGTAAGAGAAAAAAAGTTTAGGACGTTTGGCAAAGCAAATTAAGTAATAGTGTCACCTGTACTTTATGTCTATAATATTGTGGTATCTTTTTATAATTCAGAATTTCCCTATGCGAAATACTGTTAATGTTTATGGGTTCAAACAAAGTAATTACAGGAAATGTAGAGGTTTAAAATCCCAGATTTGTAGTTGAAAGAGGAAAGTAATCCTGAAATGGTTATGTCTTCTCAAAAGAGGTTAG